AAAGGACACCTTAAACTTTTCGCATATTATTTCTAACATTTTCGTTGAATTCTAAATAGTAGACTTTTTTTTTTCACCAATATCCATCAAATTTCCCTGAGAAAGAATATAGCTGGTTTTTGTGTGACTTGTCAATTCAATCCACCAGCAATCACATGTATTGTTATACTTTTTCACTCTTTTAGTTAAAGTTATTTACACGTACAATAACTTCAATTACAAAGGGCCCCCCAATGCCCCAATGTCTCACCAGCAATAATTTGATTCCAATTCAATTATTGGTACTTTTTTTATCTTTTTTAAATTTGGTGCACTAACTTTCAATTAGAAATGGCTCCAACGTCTTGCAAAAAATAATTTGACACATGGTTACTTGCAAATGATTCTTAATTTAAATTATTGAATATTGATATCTACCTAGCATTAGTCACTACATCTCATTCCCTTTGTATAAACAACAAATTTGGTGTGAGTTATTGACTGATTTCGGGAGGTAGAGAAAGAGAGAGGTGGATACAGATTCCAAAGTGGAGTTGTTTGTGTGTGAATGATTTTTTTTCTCTGTTTAAAACGGGAACACAAATTGAATTACTCAATTGCATCTATTATTAGAGAAGGGCCAAATTGTCTGGCTAAGGACAATTTGAGACATACTCATTTACGTTTCTCTCTCTGCCAACTAAACCATACACAGTATAATTCAAATCCTAATTCCAATTCCAATTCCAATTACAAAGCAAGAAAAATGGATGAAATGCCTATGGTTCCTGTCACTTTCCAACTTGTAGTGGAGAAAATCACGATTTCAGATTTCTTAAACCCACCCTGTAACTGCAATAACCAAAATTAACGAAAACTGAGTCAATATTCAAACCTTAAATATACTTACCAGTACATGAGGAATATGAGAAATTTTTGGCCACTCAGAATCAGGACCGCTTTCTACCTTGCATCTCTCTGGCAATGCGTTACTAAAATCCCATATTTTCAATTCTTTTAAAGAAGTGAGATGTTGAAGCTGATATGGTAAAGAGACCCAATCCTCTCGGCCAAATAACTCTAATTTCTCAAGGGATTTTATGTATTTGATATCGTCGAGAAAATCTTGAAATGAATTGAACTTTGAGAATACCCCAATCGACAATTCTGTTAAGCTATTAAGGCATCCAATCAAACTCAATTTAGGAAACGAAGTGAGATTATAGCATCTATACACCTCCAGACGCCGTAGGGATCCCATCCCCCTCATTTCAGGAAGCGAAGTGAGATTCGGGCAACTCGTAACAGATAGACGCTGTAGAGACTTACTACACTCTAGCATTTCATTTGGCAGTTTTCTCAACTCATCGCAATAACTAATGTCCAAGCTCCGAAGGGAACGGAGGCCTTCTTGTCCATTTTGATACGAAATTGATTGCAGATTTTCACATAACCTTATTTCCAATTTCTCAAGAAACTGGAGGCTGCCTAGGTCATAGTGTAATTCCCTCAATTCATTACAAAACACAATTATCATCTCTTTAAGAGAAGCTTCGCTGCCCCGCAAGTGGGGAACACGAGTCAACTCATAACACCCGTCTAACGTCAAATATTCAAGGCAAGGAAATACCTGCATTCTGTTCGTTTGTGGTTCTTCCCACTCTGTCAGGTTCGGCACTTCACTTAATGTAAGAAATTTAAGTGACGGGAATGATACTCTTGTTCCTTGGCCATCGTTGTTGCTAGTTGAGCTGCAATCACTCTCTCCATAGAATGATGGTGTTATCGATCTTACATTTTCCAGATAGAAGAGCTTTAGATCCTTGAGGAGTGGTAGGTGGCCGAGCATTGGGATTTCTTCTAATTCATAACAATAACTAATTTTGATCTCGATCAATTTATCAAATATCACCAGATTGCCTCCAATGCCTTTATATATTCCCATATTTCTAGTCCAAAATGGAAAGTTTTTACCTCGGAATCCTTCAATCGTTAGGCCTTTTAGCTTTTCATGAGGTTGCAGCCCTTCAAGTACACTCTCATCATTGATGTTACTTTCTGTGGAATCCGTTGACTCTCTCCAATGAAAGTGTAGCTTATAAATGTTTAGCTTTCCGGCCATATCTGCACGCTCAGCTTCTGTTTTGCCGCTCACCAATTTCAGATTCCGTATTTTTAGTTCGCCCTTTAATTTCTTCAACTTTCCTAGCTCATCAATTCGACAACCTTCCTTGTCACTCAAACAAAATACTGGTAATGTTTGAAGGCAAGATAAACTTCCGATATTAGGTGGCATCTCGAAATCATAGTCATCATCATCAAAACAGAGATGCCTTAAACTAATCAAGAATTGCAGTTCTCTAGGAAGCCTTAGACCTGGGATCCTCAAGGTTTGCAAAAGGTAGAGCTTGCAAATAGATTCTGGCAGAGTAGTGAAATGACGATTCGTGGACACATCAAAATATCTCAAATGTTTCAACGTGCCAATTGATTCTGGCAATTCTAGAATAAATGCATTACACAGCTTTAGAGAATGCAAATGCTTGAAGGACGGCAAAATTTCACGTGGTACCCAGTGTCTCAAGAACAATGTGCGGAGATAACTTGCTTTCTCTTTCATGACCTTGCGTGTTTCCTCTCCAATTGATTCTATCGCAAGGTGTCTAACTTGAACATTGTCATCAGCAGTGCGACCATCCGTATCCATGAAACCTTCCGATTTCGAAACTGAACATGCAAGATCGTGGACAAGATCGTGCATCTTGCACGATTTGATATTGCCATACTTGTCCTTTTCGGGCTCTTGGAAGAAGAAATTTTTCAACAAAATATTAAAAAATTCATCGCCTCTATCCTCCATCTCAGAAAGAAATCCTTCCGCCATCCAGAGC